CTATTGCTACACAATGTCACCATTTATCAATTCAAATAAGAGTTAACAGAAGATGACAAATCCCCCTGGCCCCCACAACTTCAAAGAACAAAGAATACCAACTAATTCCAGAGATATGATCCGGACTAGCCTGTCTCTAGGACGCTAGAGAATAAACTAAAAAAGAAGTCCAACTCAAGTCTAGAATGATTGGTCAAGTCTAGATTAGTCCACACCACACCACTTGAATCAAAGTCAAACTTGTTGCCATGGAAATGGAAAGAATAAAAATTCTTTAAAAAATCCTTAAATAGCAAAAGACACCAGAAGATCTTTGTGTGTGCAAAAGTTTCATGAACGAATACCCATTAGTTTAAGTTTAGAGACATAATCCTGACAAGAAAGGATTACAGATGGACAGACGGACGGACTACCATTACTATATTCCCCCTTACTACATACCAGGGGGATAATGAGTGAGTTGGGTTTAACGCCACTTTTAACAGTATTCCAGTTATATCACTGCGTGTCAGCTTAATGTGGGAGGAAAGCCTGAAGTGATGCAGGTCTCAGATGTTTACCACTTCGGTGAAACCCACGAGCACGGGTATGGTGCTGACAAACCTAGAAACATAATCGGGGCGAACTGGGATTCAAACCCACAATCATAGGTTTCTGGCACAGCGAATCGCGGCACCTTAGACGACTGGGCCACCTGTGCCCTCCACCAGGGGTATAAAAAAGCATTAATTGTAATATATGTAACAGAAGTGTTTAGGCCAATTTCATGGCCTTTTCAAGTGTCTTACTGTGTTTGTAGCTAAACACTGAATTCAGTAATAATCCATCTACCTGTATATGAAGGTGGCCTGTAAATCAAGTCTTGATGAGACAATCAAAGACAGCCAAATTCAAGGTCTTTTCGTGCTTCTGCCACATTTTTCGTAAATCAATGTTCTCAAACCCAAAAATGTTTTCAAGGATTGAAATAAAAAAATTAGTCTTGCTTTTTTTTATGTGTTAACCAACATAAATGAAAATAGTATTCATCCTGTACTTGGAATACTTAAAGCATAAATATCTTCTGTGACATATTACTTTAATAGTTCATAGCAAACAGAGTTTTTTGCAGACAAAAGTAACTGAGTAACTAAGTATTTTATATGAGTGCACATACAAGATGTGAGACTACGGTAAACACAACTTCTCACCTATGTTTATATAATGAAAGATACTGCATAAACAGACTCCACATAGATACTGCATAAACAGACTCCACAAACACACTGATAAGAAGAAAAATAACACCATTGTTGACAAACTTTTAGACAGACGTCTTACTTTTGATAAACATTATCATCCATTTTAAAAAAACACAACTGACCTTGCTTATTTTATACAATAAACCTACAGACATATCCACCCAAGACACAAAGATCCGGGGCAGAATAGGTCTTCAACCCATGCTTGCCTTAAAAGGCGACCATTCTTGTCGAAAGAGGCGACCAACGGGATCAGGTCGTCAGGCTCGTTGACATGGTTAAAGCATGTCATCGATCCCAATGGCGTGGATCGATGCTCATGATATCAATCACTGGATTGTCTGGTCCAGACTCGATTATTTACAGACCACCGTCATATAGCTGGAATATTGCTGAGTGCGGCGTTAAACAACAAACCAAACCAAAACCTGAGACACAAGGATAGGAACTGTATATGTTGAATAAACTTAGACTTTCAGTTCTTTCACGTGTAACTTTGCCATGGGTTATCTTGCCAACAAGATGCTGAGGTCTGTTCCCGTACAAAACAACTAAGTACAAACACAAGGCTGTTTAGGCCAAGAATACTACTCAACATCTGCTAAGGACCTTTGACTAAAGGTGACTATCCCAGTCCTTAGCAAATCTTGAGTAGCATACTACATCATGATAGTGGAATATCTGTACTTAATATAAATGTAGGTCCCAAAACAAGTCTTGCAATATTTCACAGCAATAAAATTATTTTTTCTTGGACTTTGTGTCAATCTGCCACAGAAAAGAATTCTTTCAAAGCTTTTTTTTTCAAATTTTATGTCGACTCACCTGTCAAAAACAAAAAGACACTGGCAATGTAAATATCAGTTTGAACATTTTTCATGATCAACAAATTGATAGTATAGAGAAAATACAAGCCAAACACAAATTGAAAGTAATGTTTGTCCCCAATCACTTGAAGAGTTGCCAAGAAATTACCGCTAACTCTGGCAAGCTCTAAGTGGCTTCAAGGACAAGCAACTGTGGCCGTACATCCTGCTATCACACCTGGGCTATTAACAGGTACCGCAATTATCACTTCACGGTCAATTTACTGCGAAAACCTTGCAGCCAGCAGTAAGTGGATAATTAACAGGTGCACCTCTTTAGACTGCTGAGTAACTAATCACATTGATCAGTCAATAAGTACTTAACTACTTTAACTAGTTCTGTTATTGTGCACTGACACATGAATCACTGCAAGATTCTATCATATACAAGCAGGAATAATTAGGTTAAACACATGAATTTTTCTTTAATATGGAACTGAGGATACGGCCAATTTCAAAAATAAATTAGCCATATATTCCTATATAACTGAAACTTACTTAAAAAAAACAGGAGATAAGTGTTATCAAGGCCACATATATTTATTTTATCAAATGGGTAATCGATTTTCTCAGTCAATTTGCCCATAGTCAAGGGGGGAAAAGTGCAAAAAAAAATGTGGACTGGGTTAATTTCCTAAAACTTCTACTCTCCGTACTTACATCTCTCAATAAAAGAACCACCCTCATTTCATTCTCATCCCCAGCTCTTGGTAAGAGAGCGCCTTAATACTCAAGGGTTCCTTTCGAAATGATCGTTATTTAGAATTGTACATAACTATATTCTGTGTCACTTAACTCACTACTACATACATGTATGAGGAGTCCACTCCCATACCCCTGTAGGAGCTTTAAAGCATCACTAAACGAATATACCGACAGCTCTAAACATTCGTCCATCTCTGCTTTTTCACATGGGACATGATTTCAGCTGGTAGTTCCGATTTTGTCCACTGAAGATAAGGCAATCCTTATTGTCCTAATAAGTTTTATTCAGTGGTAAGCATTGATATGGGCTCACTACTGAGGGCACCAACTGAAGAGCCTGCTATGCTGCTATATCAATACTTGAAATCCATCTCATTTCCTTATTCTAAGGCTCGATCTCATTTCCAGCAACATCCATCTTCTACCCTAAGGCTGAGATGCACTTATCCTTCCGAACTAATCCACCAACCTCATACTGTCTCTAATGAAACTACTGGGAGGGTGAAGAAGGTGTGTGTGGGGGGGGGGGGGGGGGGGGGGGTTCTGAGAGGTTGGGGTGGAGTTGTGCTGCCATGGTTACCAGACTGTATTGCTTTTTATCATCCTTCTGTGGTCTATCAAGTTCCACTTATCTTTCTGAGGACGAGCTGGGAATATATTGATAAACAGGACTCAAACTGACAACACACAACTGTAACAAGTCATTACCAGCCTCTATCAATTCTCTTGTGAGGAAAATAATGTCAGTCTCGCGCAGTTACTGTCCACTCACTCAGTGACCATGGTGGTTGATTGCTGACTTAATGGCTTCTCTGCTGCTACAATCCAGGCCGAAAATCTGATGTTCTGGCAAATATCAGAATAAGGGGTGAGTTAGTCGAGTTTAAAGCCTCTTGGAACAGTGGCAGTTATAGTCCGGCATGTTAGCCCAATGTTGGTAGAAAACACATAGTAACACTTCTCGTAGACATTTACCAGTTTGGTGAAGAATGCAGATGGCAGTGTCTTGCCATGGAAAGAAGAACCCCATTATGTGTTACAAAGAGTGCGAGATCCGGGTAGAGAATGGGTCTTCAGCAACCCATGTTTGCCCTTGGAAGGAACCATGCTTGCCGTAAGAGGCGACTAGCAGGATAGGGTGGTCAGGCTATGCGACTTGGTTGATACAAGTCATTGCACATAGACTGTCAATCATTGGATTGGATAAATCCCCTGTGTGATGAGTGACCGCCTTGACAATTTGGCTACCCCACCAGATAGGTTCTTGACAAATTATCCACTGAGCTGTTTCAATAAAAGCAGATCATCCTTGTTTAATTACTTCAATAAGAACTGCAGTTGATACAAGGAAATTAATAAGAATAAAATGTACACCAAAGCAGGAGATAACAAAGTGTTCAACATTTTTAACATTACAGAAATCAAACCTGGGGCTTCGGCATGACGAGATGAAGACTTAACCACTTTTCCACCCTCTATCTTGATGATGATGATACAACTAAAATTCATGACAACCCTTATAATAAAATGCTGATATATCATAAAGGAAAGGTAATAAAAGAAATATAATCATCATTTGCCATTCATAACCCATTTTACTTTACTTAGTCATAACTGTTAGCCATATCATTAAGTCTCAAAGTAACATTTGCACGAGTGTCGTATTGCTCCGAACGTCAAAAGGAGGTAGAAAACAGCCATAGCACCTCTACACTCGTCTTCTTGCCTGAAAATTTAATCTGTCAGGTGTATTCAGCCCAAGTCAACAAGCTATACAGGGGTTTATCCCGGCTGCACGACTGCCGGCTAACAAAACACAAGGGTTGAAAAGCATGGAATGCAACCATCGGTCCCTTTAACACTGCCGCTATCAAGCACACAACACGCACTCGCTCTGTTGACAACACAGCCCATTCATAACAGCCTCGGCGTGGAAACTTTGTACAACTTTCGCGTCTTCATGTTTCAATTAAACAATCTAGAATTGTTTTAAAGGTTACATTGTAGTACGTATCAATTGTGTAAACAAGAAATCGCATCCTTGCCCTTGGTGGACACAGGTCGGGAGGGTCGGCTGACCGCGCATGAAGCAATCTGTCGACCCGTGAATATTTCACGTGCAGCACGGACCGCTCGTGCTGTGTGATGTACTCGTGTGGTGACGGGAACAAAAACACGGATGTCTCACCTGCATCAGCTGTCCTTCAGCGCTGACTCGGGCACCTGCAGCTGAGAATTCTCCATTCAGTCGGTACGATCTCGTCTTGTAATCGCCATTTTCCACAGAATTGAACAGTACTATCTCCAGAATTCCAGTGTTTTGTGTCATTCCACGCGATGCCACTAACATACACAACAACAAGACAACCAGATTCATCTTCCCGGAACGTCTCCGGAGCTTAGGACGCGGGACATCGCTTCCCTGAGTCTCCTATCGACATATACACACCCGCACCCTCTCTCGCCACTTCTCTAGCGGTAAGCTAGCATACCAGTCAATGGCGGCGTGCATCAAAGCCTTTGGAGAGTCACGTGGTTTATAGGGTTTCCCCGCCTACGGGGAGAGACACGAATAATCTGTGCCGACCCCACCGTGCTCGCTTAGCTTCAGACCGAGCAAAAAATACCCGCCTTTGAAGTTACTGGCGTACAGAGAATTTGTAAACAAGGAGTGAAATCATAAATGTCCGGTTCGATATGAATTGTACAAATACGCATGGGTAATTGAAAAAAACAACCTTTACCGTTAACGGGTTTTTTTCTTTCCACACACACTATTCTTATGTTCATTATCCACTAATTGCAAAAACTATTTCGATCAATAGTCTTTGATACGGCATCGATTCGTTCGAGTCCATGAAACATTTATTATACACCTTGTTAGGTCGGTGAGGTAATGCTGTTTGTGATCGTCTTAGAGTTCAATGGGAGCAATTAAGGGGTGGGGGTGACAAGGGGAGGGTGAGTCCGGGAGGGAGTGTGTGTGTCGGAGAGAGGGGGGGGTCTGATGGGGAGGTTGACACGAAAGGGGAAGAAGTGCGCCTGCATGAACTTAAATAACTTTTGATTCTATGCCGTGTGAAATTCACGGCTTGTATTGATTCACTGCAGGCGTTTAAATAGTATTCAAGAAATATAGGTACTGCGGTGGATTGAGTTTGTTTTAGTGATTCGATATACCTTGACTGCATTCCGAAATTTGCTATAGGTGTAGTGAAAGGACGACGATTCGATCCCCGGACGCGTCACACCAAAAATACATGAAAAGATGGTACTTGCTTTAACTCTGCCTGGTGCTTGGTATTAACTGTTAAGAAGATAAAACAAGGACTGGTCGGCTGGGTATCCATGTTAAACTGCGGCATGGTATCTGAGTAGGGTAGCACTATAAAACCGGCATTAGTCCGGGCTAGTACAAGCAGCCACACACACTCGTTCATGCACGTCGCTAAATAAATACATCATGAACGCGACGTTAAACCTGATTTTATCACATCACCTCACCTGCTATAGATACTGTGACACAACAAGCAGCGTATACGTAATGGATGCACACTCTCTGCTATTTCACGGTGTCCTTCAGTGTGGTCGAGCCTGCAGGATCATTGGATAGTATAGAGACTCATTAGTTAACGCACTGAGAGCCACATCAGAGAGCGTGCTAGAAATCGTGGGCTCGAATCCCGGTTTGCGCTGTTAATGTTTCTCGGGATGTCCGCACCTATCCAGTGCTCGCGGGTTTCCCAATAGTGGTAGACACCTGCATCATTGCGGGCTTTCCTCCCACATAAAGTTGACACGCCGTGATATAGCTAAATTTCTGTTCAAAGCGGCGTGAACACTCATAACTGAGAGCTGAGCTCAGAAATTAAACAAACTTCAAACGTCTACCCGTCGCGCACCCACTGTAGTATCCCTGCCATCAAACGGTTAGAACCTGTGGTATCCGGAATAGCTTAAACTGTTCCAATGACAATGCTCGTTCCTGTCACTTACAAATTATTTATTTTGTTTGTTTGTTGTTTAATGCCGCACTCAGTAATATTCCAGCTATAGGACAGCGGTTTGTAAATGACATCATCAGCATCGATCCACGCAATTGGGATACGATGACATGCTTCAAGTCAGCAAGCCTGACCACCCGACCCTGTTAGTCTGCTCTTACGACAAGCACCTATATCGTGAGTACACAAAAACCTATATATAGTATAGTTAAGCTGAGTGTTTAACGCTGCACTCATCGAAATTCCAGCTATACCACGGCGGTCAGTAAATACTGGAATCAGGACCAAACAATCCAGTGATTGACATGAGCATCGATCTACGCAATTTGGATGCTGTGACATGCATCGACCATGCTAGTCAGCGAGCCTGACCGCCCGATACAGTTAGTCGCCTCTTACCTTTTATTTTGTTTAACGCCGCACTAACAATATTTCAGCTTTATGACGGCGGTCTGTCAATAATCGAATCTGGACCACACAATCCAGTGATTGACATTATGAGCATCGATCTACGCAATTTGGATACGATGATGTGCCTCAACGTCAGCGAACCTGACCACCCGATCCCGTTAGGCGCCTTTTACAACAAGCACGGGTTGCGGAAGACCTAGTCTAACCGGGGTAAAAAAACAACCGGAACAAAAGTAACTGATCATGTTCATATCGTTTACAAACTGAGCATCTTTTAGTACCACAAATATTTAAATATTTATGGTGTTTTATCGGGCTTTCGCTGGACCGGAAAAACTTTCTTATGCTGTTGGCTTTAGAATGTAAACCAATTCAAAATTTCAGATCTTCCTGTAGTTTTACAGCAGTTTGAAAAAGAAAGAAAACAATTAGTTGTTACCTTCTCATAAACCCCCCAAAACATATAAATGTCTTAACGTAGTCTCTCTTATAGGGGCGGTCGGGTAGCCTAGTGGTTAAAGCGTTCGCCTGTCACGCCGAAGACCCGGGTTCGATTCTCGACATGGGTACATTTCTGGTGTCACCCGCCGTGATATTGCTGTAATATGGCTAAAAGCGGCCTAAAACCATACTCACTCACTCTCTCTTACAGGCCACGGAGTACATAGTTTAATAAACATTCACCCCTTTCTCAGTTCTTACATACTATTCGCTTCCCATCTTCAGCTTAGGAAAGTAAGATGCGTTTGGGTTCCTTTATAGAATTATTTTTATTCTACCTTATATGCAACTGCATTTAGGGGCTATATAGTAGCCTATAGGCTTAAAACTTCTCTAGTTGATCTTCACAAGTGTTCTTGTGTGTACACTGTCAACTGACTGATCAAGCAATGTTTTAGAATAAAGAGCAATGTTTTTCATACAATCTTAAGTATTTCTTTGGTTTCAGTAATTGATAATTGATAAATTCACATGACCACTGTTATTTTGTGAATATCTAAATTCTGTTAAACAGCATCTGGGTCTTACTAGTTTGTTTTTCAGCCAGAGCATACGATGAAGGAGGCTGTTTATTCGAAATACAGTAAGCTACGGTTATAACGAACTAAAAGGGACCACTAATTGTAGTTCGTTATAACCGTAGTTCGTTATACGCATATATACAGCAAATGGACGGGACCAAAAAACAGTTCGTAATATCCGTCAGTTCGTTATAAGCGTGTTCGTTATAAACGTAGTTTACTGTAGTCATTTTGGTATTGTGTCAGTAGGATCATGAGACCACACTCGTCAGTTTTGTCTGATATAGTCGAATTGGAAAACACATTTGTCGTAGAAACCTGGAGAAAAGCAAAATTATTATAATTCTTTGAGACCTTTTGACATCGGCATTGTGTTTGCAGTGTACAGCAGTGTACAGAAGTTTAAAAACGGTTACACCAATATCAAATGACACAGGACAGTTCACGTGTCAACTCTCTCGTCTTTATGTCCGGGAGCAAACAATTTAGCTTTCTTAAATTCCTTGGTGAAAAGAATAAAACGTGTTTCCGGTAACGCGACCGACAAATCATTTCGTTTACGACACTGACATTTTATCACTTTTGAAAGTAATCCGGGACACTAATCAAACTTATTTAAAAAATACTTTAAATTAATACAAAGCACATGTCACCTGCAACGCGAGCATTTTTATCGTATCACAGTCGCCCAGTTGTATGCATCAATATGAAGGCTTCTTGTAACTGCTGTTCGCATGTTGTTCGATCCGGGTTAGAATAGATCTTTAGCAACCCATGTGTGCCCTAAGAGGCGACTATGCGTGTCGGTAAGAGGTGACTTACGGGATCGGGTGGTCAGGTTCGCTCATGATGTCAGTCACTGGATTGTCTGGTCCAGACCAGATTATTTACAGACCGCCGTCCTATAGCTGGAATATTGCCGAGGGCGGTGTTAAACAACAAACAAACAAACAGCCTGTTGTTAAGTTTCTTTGGGCAGGGGGCACGGGTGATATATCTGGAATGCTGTTCAAAGCGGCGTTAAATCCAACTCACACACCACCAGCAGGTATATAGCATTGACAAAACCTTTTTCAGTTGTCGCATCCTTAAACCTGGGACATTCCATTCAATCATGGTAGATGTATACCAAATACATCCAGCACATTGTGGGGCGATGAGATAGCCCAATGGTTAAAGCGTTCGCTCGCCATGCCGAATACCAAGTTCGTTCCCACACATGGGTACAATGTGTGAAGCCCATTTCTGGTGTCCCTTGCCGTGATATTGCTGGAATCGCTAAAAGCGGCGTAAAACCCACTCCAACACATTAAGTGTCAAGGATTGTTGTCGGCGGCTCCTCTGGGTTCAGGGGGGTATGGTTTATTTAACGTATCTTACATGTCTCACTAGTGTCGGCGGCTCCACTGGGTTCAGGGGGTATGGTATATTTAACGTATCTTACATGTCTCACTAGTGTCGGCGGCTCCTCTGGGTTCAGGGGGTATGGTATATTTAACGTATCTTACATGTCTCACTAGTGTCGGCGGCTCCTCTGGGTTCAGGGGGTATGGTATATTTAACGTATCTTACATGTCTCACTAGTGTCGGCGGCTCCTCTGGGTTCAGGAGGTATGGTATATTTAACGTATCTTACATGTCTCACTAGTGTCGGCGGCTCCACTGGGTTCAGGGGGTATGGTATATTTAACGTATCTTACATGTCTCACTAGTGTCGGCGGCTCCTCTGGGTTCAGGGGGTATGGTATATTTAACGTATCTTACATGTCTCACTGTTGTCGGCGGCTCCACTTGGTTCAGGGGGTATGGTATATTTAACGTATCTTACATGTCTCACTAGTGTCGGCGGCTCCTCTGGGTTCAGGGGGTATGGTATATTTAACGTATCTTACATGTCTCACTGTTGTCGGCGGCTCCTCTGGGTTCAGGGGGTATGGTATATTTAACGTATCTTATATGTCTCGCTGTAAACGCACTTGCTTAACCTTCATTAATATTAGAGTCTCCTTTTTTCAAGTTGTAGTGGTCTGGAGCAATCACGTCGAGGCATGCATGCATATTAAAAAACGGTAAGCTAATCTCACACCAGGAT